TATGTGTTAATGAGTGAAGAGGAGGATTTATTTTCAAGAATTCAATTATTTCTACATGTATATACATATATTTATATATATAAAAATCTGTTTCAGTGAAATTTGAAACAGATTGTGAAGTTGAGAGCAAAACCTCTCTCCGTGATTTCACTAATCACAGAAAGAGAACATGTTAAGGCCACCATTCTTACTGATGCTGACTGTGTCACTGTAGTCTGTGTAGTAAACTGGTTTTCCTCTTCCTCCTCTGCACCAGTACAGTCCTTCCTCTGAGACATTCATTTGTCCATTTGAGGATGAAACAGCATCTTCTCCGGTCACAGGCTCTGAGGATTTTTCTCCTCTGTACCAGAAATATGTCCAACTAAATGATGATGATGATGATGATGATGATGATGATGATGATGATGATGATGATGATGATGATGATAATGATGACGTGTTTAGTGAGCAGGTAAGCATCACGCTGCCTCCTGCTGGCAGCTCTGTGCTGCCCGCACTCAGATGGGCCTTTGGTTTACCTGTTGGCGAGTTTAGACAACAACAATATAAGAAACAGCATAGATGTGAGTCACACACATAGTTCTATACATAAGACAGCATTTTTACGTAAAATATTTATTTTATTTTGTGACGTTTGTGTCTTATCAATTGTGCTAAATGTGTTCACAATCTGAAACAGACCAATCAAAACTGGCCAGGATCATTCCAAGCAGGAAAGACACTTGTTTTTTGTTCTATAGTTAATTATTTCTCTTTGAGTCCACAGAAGGGGCTATTTGAGTAAGAACCACCACTGACTGGAAATGTGGGAACCCTGGAGCCAAAACTACAAGAAAACGGAACGATGTTTGTTGTAAGGAATCTCTCTCCTGCCCTATTGGAGAGACTCTTGTGTCAGAGTCTGATCGAGCCAAATCGCAGCTCCTTCTTTAAATCCTGTTTCTCAATCTTCTCCAAAACTCTTAAAACACATAAATGAAACATGACTTACGAAATACTGACAGTGAGACGGGTTCACTCCACCCTGTCGAAGAAAAGGCATCATCTTTGAGCAAACACAGACACCTGTAGTCTCCCCCGTTGGACTCAGAGACACTGAAAGTCCAGTTTTTGCTCTGTGTCCTGCGTATGAACAACCCGTCTCTCCTCCAGTCACACGTCCACTCAGCGGTTTCTCCTCCCTGGACTCGCATGTCAGAGCGATCGTCTCGCCACTGAACATCTGAGGCCAGTTTGGTTGTCGAGTCGCAAAGACCTCGTTGGAAACTGTTTACATCAGATAAGAAGAGAAACTTGAAATCCATCAAGAGAACTCAACATTATTATTATTATTATGTCTGAATAAACTCACAGGTTATTTTGATTGTACTCCTGTCACTTGAGTAACTTTGGTGGTTGTGTGTTTCTGTTACACCTTTGCATTGATAAAAACCTCCTCGTGTGACATTAATAATTCTGTTCAGTCCACTATTATTTTTGATTTGAACCCGGGGAGAGTCTGGGGTCCATCTGAACCAACTGTACATCCATCCAGCAGAGTTTTCCACAGAGCAGCTCAGCGCCACACTGCCCCCTACTGGTATGGTCGTTGGGCCTGCTGTCAGAATGGCCCTGGCTTTATCTGCTGTTATCAAGCACACGAAAATATGTTTAAAAAAAATAACTTAAAAGCACCAATGTTGGAACAACATTTATTTGTATCATTCCTAAATTGCAAACTGCCTTTTTAAGTCAATCATTGTAAAGCCCTGCCAGTTTGTACAGAAAAATCAAATGAAATGTAATAGAAAATTTTTTTTGGAGTTGCTTTGAAATCTGAATTAATGCATTTTGGTTACTGGATATATGCTTTTATTGTAGAGGGGAAAAAACCCCCCATTCCTTTCAAGTATATAAATGTCATTGTTTAACAAGTACATAAAAATGTCTCTAATCTTCCAGCTTGCAGGTGTTTTGTTACAGTGAGACATGCACTGGAAACCTTCATAGCTAAAACTGTGTCAAAAAAATAAATTGTGTTCAAATATTGATAGGAATAAAAGCGAAGTTACCTTGAGCATGTCCGCAGCAGACGAAGATGATCCACACTACAGTGAAAGTAGAAAGTTTTACACTAAACAAGTTAAAGAAAAACAACAGAAGGTGTCTGTTTTACATGTCCAGTCTGTCCAATGCTGACCAGATGTTCTGTTTATTAAATGTTTTTAAGAAAACCACTACATATTTTCTCGTACCAAGACATCAGAATTTTGCCAATTTCTGTTGCACAACAGTTTTTCTTTTCTTTTTGTCTACAAAGGTCATGGCACGGTTTAACCCTCTCAGGCTCAAATTACTTGCAAAGACTGGCTAAGGTGTTGCATATCTGCAACACCTGCCTGGCACGGTTTAAAAGAAAATGTCATTAAAAAGAAAAATGTTTATCAACACTGTTTTGTTGACAAAGGTTTGACAGACATTTAACATACTCTGCACTAATTAAAACGAAAAGGTGAAGTTATGTACTTACTCAGTATGTCCAGTACGTAATATAAAGTGTGTTTCGCCCTCATTTCTGAGTCAAATGAGGACGAAACCAGATAATTCTGCCTTTTTGAAATGTTTCAGCCAAGTGCTGCAGAAAGAAAACCCACAGGATAGGAAATTAGTTTCGATACAGACTGAGATCGGACCGCGGTCTCTGTATTAGGTTTTGCCACAGAGCAACGTGATGCTTCCTGTCCAATACCGAGAAATCTACAGCCATGTCAAAGAAAAAAAACACCAGCTTTATTTATTTGTAAAATGGATTACATAGTTGTTGCCAACTAAGCAAAAATAAATAAATAAATAAATATTTACTTGAACTAAAAACATGAGCAAACCACAATGCTGCATTAGCTGAAGGTGGAAAAACTTGATGTATTCAGCATGTTGATCTTCAAGCAACCATCTTCTACATGACCACATCAGTGCTGTGCAGGAAGTATGGTTAGCTCTGCCTCGCACAAAGTTTCTGTTTATGCAATTTCTATGAAGTCTAAAGACTGTTACATGTACACCCTGCACAACTGAGCTGTGGTAAAGAGCTGCAATCAAGCAATCACAATGACTGGCAGTGACTCTTTTTGAACCAATTGTTTAATTTCGACCCCATTTAAAGGTTTTCAAAGATGAATGGCTTAAATGACTTTGCTAGTCATTTGAAAGCAAATTGCTAGTGTATTTTGCATCGTTGTTTTAACCCAATTGGGCTTGAGTTTAAGGTCGTGAATGGTGGTCACAGACTAATCTTCCTGGATTTTTAGGATGAGAACAGAATTTGTGGTTCCATTAACAATGAATAAACCGAGGACAAGACCTTGTTTGATGATAACTTTCTGAAATGTGTTCATTTCAAGTCAGATGTGACTCGAAATGAACGACGAGTTTTATTGTTTTATTGGTTCTGAGTATCTTTCCGACATAGTGAGGCAGGCCTTTGTTTCCTTTTAGTCAGAAGTGGTTTTTAACCTCCAAACTTTCCCATCAGTGTTACTTTTAGACTCTTAGCCAGGAATGCTAAAACTAACAGAAAGCTAGTTGAGTAGCGCTTCAGGTGTTATTTTGGGTTTTCTGCGACCTCCCGCTGAGACATTTTGTAATTTCTTTTGGCCTCCCATGAGCTGACTCAGCTTAATCCTGGGATTCTCAGAATGGTTATAGTTAAACTAAATAATTTATAGGCATTAAAAAACACTGTCTTATAAAATCTTTCACCCACTTTGTATGTAAGTGGCATTGTTTCAGTGCAGGCCATGCTGTGTTATGAGCATTTTAGATAAGCCTTCTGGAAAACCACATTATTTTAAAGGAGGCAATTAGGTCCAACTCTTTTCATTGACGCTTTCTGAAAAAAAGATTTTGATAACATTTAAAGGAATGATCCACTTCGTCTCCAGTGCTACGAGCTACTTAACATGCTAAGTCGAGGACACGAGTGTCCTCAGAGTAAGCTGCAAAGTCAGATGAAATTTAGGCTTGAAGCAAAACAGAAATAATGACCAGGTGTGAAACGCCGGATGAGATCATGATTATGTCTTCAACCACGTTTCCCATACAGCCAGATAAATGTTCTTTGTGCAGCAGGTGTGATTGTGTCAACTTTGGCGTTCAGTCTAAATGACCACAATCTTGAGAACAAACAATAGCAAAGAGTCTGTCTCACTTTGCTCCAATTTATGTGTCATAGCCTAAAAGGTGTTAACCTCTCAGAGCTCAATTTGGGTCTATGTAAACGTTGATCTCACTCACACCTCTCGGCACCTCTAATGCGGAAGAGCATTAAAATGAAATACTGGCGCAAGGTTTCACACCTCTGGGGCTTCATCACTGAGAGTATTGAGTATTCAGTTTAAACCCAACAAAAATCACCCTTCTATTGTTGTGGAAAATTTTGTGGCCCTCAGCAAAGTTTTGTCTTAAACTTCAGTAAAACTAATACCTGTTGATCCTTAGATGTATTCGGGTTCAGGGCCAACGACTGCTGGAGAAGTGAGTTAATACAATAATTGGATGGATGTTTAGATTATATAAATAGTATTTCAATAAAACAGCTTTCTTACACAGTTTTTGCACATCAAGTTGGTATTCATAAAATATAAAAAAGGCAAAACACGCTGCTTGTTTTTGCTGGGAATTATAAGCAACATGTTGTTGAAGTAGATTGACGCAATGCAACACTAATAATTATAAAGTTAATGCACTGTTTTTAAGTTTTTTATCAACTTTATTCAGATCATGTGCGAGTTTATGCAAAACGTACAAGCATGCAGGGTGGGGGGGGGGGAGATATGTTCACTATTAATTTTTCAGACTGACTCAGAGGGGCTGCAAAATGTGTGAAGCGCTCAGGGTTTAAATTAAGTCTGTGGTTCACAGTTTCTTTTTGAGACAAATGAAGTCATCAGATTCAGCTACCGGGACATTGCTGATATAAAAATCTGTCCCCGAGTGACAGAGTGTTTATTTGTCGGACAAAAACAGCAGAACTTCAATGCTCGATCTGAGGATGGTACAGACATGGTTATCCACACTTTTACTAACTTGTGAGTAAAAGCTAGTTTTTGTTTTCTTTATGGATGTTGATTTAAAAAAAAAAATCACATTAATTTGTATCATTTTAAAAGGGTAACAATTTTTTTTCAAGAAGTCTTGATGTATCAACAACATTTTGAAAAATGTGAAACAAAAGTGGAACAATTTTCAAATTCAAAAATGTACATACGAATATCAAGGATATAATAAAAAAACTGTATTCTTTTTGGTTTAATTTTCACTTAGTCCTACATTTTCTATTTTTTTTTAAGTGTTTGGTCCTTTCATCGACTGTGGATCTGTCCAGGGTAAGTACTGACCTTTGCGTTTGACTCTCAGTTTATTCACCATTTAACATGGTTTGTTCTTGAATGGTCAGGACATAAAGGAAACCAGAAATCTGAGTCTGAAAAAGAATGGCATTTTAAAATAAACGATTTGTTGGAACATAGAAAGGAACACTCAGAAACATACGTCAGTCTAAAGGTCAACTTTATGTATTTTCTTCATTTGCCAACTGAGCAGCAAAGGTCCCTCAGGCCTCACTCAGAGCAGACAGCAGGGGAATACCAGCGGGTGGCAGTGTGACCCTCACCTGCTCTGTGGATGCGTCTGCAGACTGGAGATACTACTGGTTCAGAAAACAAACATCAGAATACTCAAATCTTTCATGATAAAAAATGGAACAGCAGAACAGACCATTACTGTTTCAGAAGACGGCATCTACTACTGCAGAGGAGGACGAGGAGGCCCAGTTGTTTTCACAGAGGACAGCAACGCAGTTACGATTGACAAAATAAGTTAAGTGTTTTGTCTGTAAAACAACGCGTATCAGGTATAAAATCAACCTCGGCTTTGAATTCTTCGCAGTAATTCATGTTTTTTTCCTTCAGACACGCCTTCCAAGGCAGCAAGGATAACACAGAATCCCGACTGGATCAAAATATTTATCGGAGAGAGGATCAGTCTGACATGTGTCGTCTCGGATGGAGACGGCGCTCGGTGGGAATACGAATGGAAAACGACGAGCTCGGAAAAGCCCGTGAAAACCGCTGAGGTCTGGGTTTTCTATACCTCCGATTCCAGTGCCGGCGACTTCTGGTGCAGAGGCAAAAACAAGATGGACTTGCTTCCCACAATGTGGAGTTATCCCATCAGATTGACTGTGATTTGTAAGTTTTTTTATTTTTATTTATTGTTTATCCATTTCAAAAATAAATCTAAAACTCCTGCTCACTCTCTTGATTTGCCTGATTATGTAGGTTATAATATTGAAAATACAGAACGAATTTGAAATTGACTGTCAAAACGACAAAAAAGGAGGAAAGCATTGAGTTAAGTCATTTTCTAATGATGCCTTCATTAATTAAAGAACAAAAGTGCCATCGTAATAGATGTTACTATTACTAGTGACTTTTTGATCCTACGATTGAGGATGTATGTGGCAAGTGAAACTATACTTCAGTGTCCCCTGTAAAATGTAACAAACTTTTTCTACTTGTAAGGATGCAATTGAAATTTTTAAATGAAAAAGTTTCATGGCACTTTTTTCATTATATATTACAGCAAGCAAGCCGAAGGCAACACTAAATGTTGACATGTTTCATTGGAATGGAAATTGGATTCTGACCTGCTACGTGAATTTGTCACCATCGACCTGGAAATACTTCTGGTATGTGGGTGAAACGCCCTCTGAAATCCTGCCCAGAGAGGATGCTGCTGGGAGCAACAAACAAATCCTTGCCTCCCAGAGAGGACTCTACTGGTGCAGAGGGGGAAGAGGAGATCCAGTTTACTACACAGAGTTCAGTGACCCACTGAAAGTCGGCACAAACCGTAAGTTTCTATTTTGCATACGCAAAAAAAAATAATGAATCCGATTGCACTCAGCTCATTCGGGCAATAAGACAAGACAAAAAAAAAAAGATAGATTGCATTATCTCGGTTTTGCACTGAATACGGTGGGAAAGTCAGGACAACATACATGTCCATAAGAGTGGTTTGATTGTTCTTGAAGTAATTTCCCCTGTGACTTTTACCACATGCAACAACAGAAGAGTCAGAGTCAGCAGCAGACCCAACTCCTCCCACCACCGTGACTCGTCCACCAGGTGAAAAAGGTGAGCAGCACCATCTGTGGCCAAATGACAAATAGCATCAGTGCAGATGGGAATTTTTCTGTCTCTCTTGTTGTGTTTACCATTATGCAATAAAACTGGAATATTTGACAAGTCATTATAAAATAAGAAGAAAAGTAAAAAAGCTTCTTGTCTGAACAATAAACCAGCGAGCATGCTATCTGAGATTACTTGTAAGTCACTTACCGTGTTAAAATGTTCCAGTTTAAATATTCTGTTTAGATTGAATTGAACTGAATTGGTGACCTGGGAGGTCATGTATAAATGTACACAGAAAACCATTGCGGCGTTGAGTTTCACACACGTCGTCATGTGTACAAATACATGCTGCAGTGAAAATTTCCACAACTGTGTCAGCTTTGAGTTGCCACAAGATTAACTAACCGCAAAGCATCATGGGTAAATACACGGGTAAATCATTTAAATGCAAAGAAATCTAACTCCATGCAGCCTTATTCAACTCAGCGCATTCAAGGCAATGTTTTCTATCATTTTAATAAGAGCGAACCATTTTGCCTCATGCAACATGCACATAAAAAAGTAATGGGAAAACCTCAATCAGATGTAAATATGTTTTTATTATCATTGGTCTGTTGTAATGTTTTATAGTTATTTTACATTTTAACAATGTTGGGAGAATTTTTGATTATTTGCAAAGTGAAATAGAGAGTAAGACACAATCTTTAGTTCATTTTTTTACATCTAAATTTAATCCTGGCTTGTGCATGTAAACTTTACTAGCAGTAAACATTGCACTAGTGTCAGCACTGCACTAAAGGCAGCGAGACAGTTGCAAGTGTTTAAAGTTGATAACGTGAAGCTTTTGATGAGTCAGTTAAAGGCTAGAAATGTGTTGACAACAGGTTTGGTGAATGGAGCCCAATTTGATGATTTGTCATGGGGCCCAAACAGCACCAGTGTTAACAAGTGGTGTGTTATTACAGAGGGAAGCGGCTCTCCTGTCATTTCGCCACTTATGACGGGGTTGGCTTGTGGAAATCTCCTCCTCTGTGGAAGTCTGGTTTTGCTGTTTATGCTTTTGCTCAGAAAAATTAAAGGTAAGAATTTCAAAACGAACAATCCCAAAGCCGTGTCTCATGATCTCAGTGTCGCTAAGACCTCTCCTCACAGATCCAGGTCCTAACATCATTCTGAGTTTCTTAATTTTGAAGAATAATAATCTTCACATATAAAAACACATACGTTCTGATCCTGTTCCACCTCCAGAGCTTTCTTCACGTTTGGAATCTAATCGAGCCTCTGGTGAAAAGCAACTCATCGACCCAGATCCAGACAGTCCTTACAGTCATCTTACCCATGGTCAGGCCTGAATGATTGATAAATTTAAAACATGGCTGCTGTCCAGAAATATATTTTCTCCATTATGCTAAGGATCCTGATTTTTACCCTGTAGGCGACACAGCTATCTACGAATCCATCCCCCCAAGCAGAAATCTTGACACTGGTGCAGTACACTCCTTGATTCATGTAGAAATATTAGTAAATGAAATATTATGACTGCCTGATGTGTATAAATATTACATTAATATTTCAGGAGAAGGAGACCATCGTGCTGCATTGTGATCAGCTGAAATGTCGCAACACAAGCAGTACGTACAAAAACTATGAGATAATATTTAATTAGGCAACCTGTAAAAACATGAAAACACACATATCACATTTTAATTAAAGGCGCTAATAATAACATTGAAGCAGTGTAATATAGCTACTGAATGACGTCAAACTCATAGCCAAGTGGGAACTAAACTGAATTCAAACCTAGACTCCAGTAATTATAGCAGAATTACCCGCAAATATTTCTGCAGGTTAACACTGATAGTAAAACTGAGTAAATGCTTTTAATATTTCAGTCAAGACATTTTGGTTGTTTCCTTTATTTTATCCATTCTGCTTTCCTATCGTGTTCATAGCAACTGACTTTGCTGTGTTTCAGATCTAGAAGAAAAAAGAGGTGAACATCTGCTGTCCTTTAAGACCACCAAGACATTTTTCAGCTTTGTAAAGACCTGCACAATCTGTGTGTAATTTAACCACCACTCATGAAATCACTTAGAAATCAAGCTTTTGCAATTGATCATTCGGTAATGTATTGCTTGTGAAAATGGAAACTAGAAAAAAAACAAACCGTAGATGTTTGTCTTTGAATAACAACCTCCTCCTCCTGTATTCCCCTGCTTTACAAATGCAATGCTTTGAATGTAAATTACAGTCGTCAACACCAGTCATTGCAGTAAATGACTGGTGTTGCAGTTTTTTGACCTCTCTGCCTACACTTACAGCCCGCAGACGATCACATGACACGGGCACAACACAGACACAACGGCAGCATTCTGTCCATGTAAACCATTGTAAAAGTTAAAGACCACTAATATCAAGTTATGTGGACGGCTTTACATTGTTGCAAGCTTTGCATACAAAACTAAATCAGTTCAGTGGGAACAGGGCAGGCCTAAACACATGGAGACACCATCAATAAAAAAAATATATATATTCTTGATCAGGGTCCGATAAATGGGTTGGATCAGAACACATTTTATTCAAGTTTGCAGCAAAAATGAAAACTTGATCAGGAAGAACAAACTCAAGATCCTCTCAGAGTCTGACAGATGAAAGAGACAAGTCAATACCTATTTAGACCACTACTAATTTCTTTATATCCTTCCAACTTGGGCGATCTCCAGGCAAACTATTTGTAGCTAGAGTTGAATCTTTCTTTACTTTCTCACAGTCAATAATCCTGTAGGTTTTTCTATTAAAAACCAAAAAAAAAAAACTTCAGTTTATCTCTGGTTATTTACCCTTATGCCTGGGGTCATGCTCAACTTGATTTCACTGATGAACGCACCAGAAAGTATATTACCTGCTTACCTCTGCACTGCTGTAGTGCAAGAGATAAGCATTGCGATATTTTTAAAAATAAGAGCTACCACAATGGGTTTCACCATATTGTGTTGTGTTGCACACAAGACCAAAGTGCAAACCCTGGACAACGGTTCCCCGATTGGCTCGGACTGAAGGTTGCTGATGTGTACATGCCTGTGTTTATTTAAGTAACACTTGAATCAGATAAAGTCAAACCCTAAAGATTTGATTTTGTAACAGTCTGAAGCACTGACTGAGCTGACAAGACATCATGCTCTGACTGACTGACTGACTGACTGACTGACTGACTGACTGACTGACTGACTGACTGGATGAATGAGGCTCTGTCCAAGTGTGTAGGCAGAGCATAATGCCTCTGCAGCCCTCCCATTGGCTGAAACAATGAGTGGGAAGGGGCTGGAATGAGGCAACGGCCAACCGGAGACCAGACTGAGTGGGAGTGGGACAGAAAGTCCTGTTGGAAGAAAGACACTCCAAAGAGTTTCAGTCTGAAGTCAACATCTGGATATCCTGAGATGACCAGCTGGTTCTAAATGAGCCAATCAGCCTCTGAAAAGAGGCCAAGAGTTGATGATGGCGTCACAATGAAGACTTAACGATAAGAAAAAAACTTGCTCTGGCTTTAAATACCACTCTATGGGTAAGCACTTGTCTGATTGAATGATCATTTCACTGCAAGGAGTTTGAATATCTGGACTATTTTTTAAACTGACTGGAAAGCGATGCAGCTGGCTCCTGATTGGTGGGTCCTGCAGGCAGAGGCCAATGACTGACAGAAGATGTCCATGAGCGTAAAGAAGAAGAAGTCACCCTCTGTGCTCTCTGACGCTGCCTCTCATAATCATTCTCAGCGCTATCCTTCTTCGACCCCTCCACTACCTCTGAGGTCTCTGCAACTTGTTGCTAGGCAACCACAGGCACCTGTTGTGCTGCGGGAGCGTAAGAAGGCGTCGGCGGTCAGGGAGTCCTGGCCGCGCGCCTCAGCAGCAGCCCACCACAGATCTCTGACTCCACCCTCCAGGGCGCATTCAGTTGCAGAAACTCGGCAAAGGCCCTCCAGTGCACCAAGATCAGACATCGTCTCAATAGCTCCGACTGCCTCAGTGTCCCAGAATCCTCTGCTTCCAGCAGCCTGTCCTCATCGGTCAGTTCCTGCTAGAGCTACGCCCAATGGGCGAGGTTCCGATTTAACCATGATGTCACTACTGCTGTTTTACCACAGGTAACCGTGGGGATCAAATGGTGCAGGTAACAGCAAATATACTAGGGGTTGAACATTTTTAAACTAAAGTGCATATGCATATTTATTATTTATTGATGTTAAATTGATTACCATTTTTGGGAAAGACGATGTAATTCAGCGTCTTTGCTTTGTTGCTAATTTTTGGGATAGAAGAGACTTTATGAAAATCCACAATAAGTTAGAATTTTATTCAAATTGTGTTATTTGAATCGCTGACGATGCATCTTGCATGATCACTTTACCTCAAAGGAGAACAACTCACATGCATAATGAAAATCTCAAATTTATTTGGCATCTATTTCCATATTAAGTAACTTCTGATCAGAACTTTAGGCCTTGAAAATGGCACAGGTCGGGTCCGATCCACCTGTTACTCTGTCACGCCTGTTCACCTTGCCTGCATCTGTTTCACCTGTGCATCTATTTGCAGCTCTTCCAGTCTTTTGGGCATTGATGGTAAAATTGAGCAGGCAATGGTAAGTCTTCCTGTTTTTGATTTGACCTGTTTGCCACCAGTGTGAATTTTACCTCTATAGCTGCACTTAACTAATTTGCTTTGCTGAATCCGGTATAACTGCTGTAGTCGTAAACTATTACTCTATCTGTGTGATGTTCATGCAGCACCCTCTGCTGGTAGATGCAGATTGACACAGCTGCAGTGTGTCAATCTGCAAGCAAAGTGCTGACTTTTTTTTTTTTTACCTCTCTTTCTGTCTTCACTTGCCCATCCCCTTTTTGTTTTAAATATATGTATTTTGTTTCCCCCTTTCCCTAAATTTGCACATCTGTTTCTGCTTGGCTCCTCAGGATCTGGTGAAGAGTCATCTGATGCTGGTGGTGCGTGAGGAGGTGGAGCTTTTACGAGAACAACTGAAAGACCTGCAGGAGAGGAACCTGCAGCTTGAGAGAGAAAACCACATCCTGAGAACGCTGACCCACAACATCTACTCGCCAACGGGACACAGAATATCTCAGTGATATACTGTGGACAGTCACAGTGTTCTCCTCTTGGACACATGCAGTCTGAAATGAATTGGGCTGGAAAAGTTTCCTTATCCGAAGTAGAAAATGTCATGCAGTAAAAAAAAAAACTGAAAAAGTATTCAGGTGATGGAAGGCTAGTCAGCTACGAGGCTAGTCCACTTTTCATTTGATAATAAGCTGGCATGCTAGTGCGATACAATGCTGCAATAACAAATTTTTAACTTTTTCCACTTTGACACAGTCATTGCTTAACGTGAAGATCAGCTGCAATTTGTAAGTCAGGAAATAACAGTAATCTCTAAAGGGTCTGGAAAAGCACTGGGACATGCAATGTCTTATGTCATTGTGCAGCTTGTCCTCACATCTAAATCCAAAAGTCCACTCTACTTTTGTCAGAATTAGATTAACAGAATGTGTTTACACTTCACGGCACACATACTTTTTTGTGTGTTGAGCTCAATGCAGCTCAAAACAGCAACAAACTTTACAACAGGGTAGTGCAAAAGTCTAAAGGGTTAATAATCACTAATATTATGCTTCTTCCTACATTTTCAACCATTTTAATCTTCAGCATGATCGTTATAACTGGCTCACATTGATATGACTTCCTCTAATCTGACATTCTCATGTAACAAACTTTTTCCTAGATTTGCTTTCCAGTCAACATGTTTATGAAATTCTCATGACTCGCTGAACTCAAACAAACCTAAAAATGACAGAGAAACCAGAAACTTTGAAACTTAATATACTGTTTTTAATAATCGCATGTCAATTGTTTCGCTTACAATGCCCGTGTCGTAACACCGGGAAAAGTTCACACACCTGAGTGAGTGCTAGCTGCTAAACCAACTCTGTTGTCATGTTAACATGTTTGACACGTTTTGACAACAGGACTTGTTGCTGCTGCTAGAATGACAATGATTATGATGAACTATAATATATAAATAAACTAATGAGGTATAATTATCCAGCTGGGTTGTGTCTGTTTTTTGTTTGTTTGTTTTGTTTTGATAATCTTTTGTAATTTTGTAATTATCACAAATTCAAGTAGCAAGTTTTGCCTCTCTGTGACTTACCAAACATTGATTATTTGTGCTCCCAAAATATTGTCAGATGGTCTGGAGTCCACATCATAAAAACTACAGAGGATATCGTGATTTTATACCAAGTTGATACACAATTTTAACTTAGAAAATGTTTCTGGAGCTTTGATTTTGAATGGTTCTGAGCTCCAGTGAAAACAAGCAGGAGGAGATTTGTCAGTGGAAGATCAAACTCAGAGTAATTAAAGTAGTGTGGGATTATCCTGATTGAATCTCACTCATCAACATTTGTGTCACGAACGCTTCTCACTCAGTGCATTTAGAAATTGTTGCTTTTCAAAACTGATACACTTCTGATATTTAAGTGATATATTTTAATATTCTAACTCATTAAACACACAGATATTTAGTTCTGCAGTTTTCTTTTGATGAAAAAACAAAAAACACCTTCACATTTACCAGACAGTTTTTCACAGATTATTTTACATGGTAGCGGTCTTCAAAAAGCAGCTTTGACCTATGGTGCTTTATGACATCACTAACAGCTGTGACATAACCGCGCTCATTGCATGCTGGGACCTCAAACTCATCATAACCATCAGGACAGAGCACAGAGACAAGAGTCATTGTAATCTGTAATCCAGAAAGCTCCACCCCCGACCACCATACAGAAACTCAAACAAAGCGAATCTGGAAAACGCAGATTAAGATTCGATCTGGGTGTGTCTCCTACATGTAACTGTGGCAACAGGGGGGATGTTGTGCCGAATATCTGACATAAACTTGCTCAGCTTTAAAAAGAAGAAGAAGAAGAAAAAAGTTTGGTTCACTTTCTCCAGAAATCCTCAGAAGAACTCAAGGAACCAGAAGATGAGTTCTGCATTTGTTTTCACTTTTTCCTATTGACTACCATGTCACTCTTTATCTACACAAATGGTTTCAATATTTAATTATAGCCTTGAAACAAGCTGCTCCTTTCATAGACAAGAAAGTATTTATAGGAACTTAAGGATTTGAACCAGAACAGAGAGGAACATGTGTTACACTGACGATGCATCATCAGTGTAACAATGAAACATAGTTGTCTCTGAATGGATTTAAGTTTATTGGAGTTAAATAATAAATAAAAAAATAAGAAAATCTCGATGGCTCCATCAGTGTTTAGTTTTTGCTTGTTTGTTTTCTTTTATGCATAATACTTAATGCCCTCTGATCAAACTTAAAATTTAAGGTTTAACAAGAAACGGGCTGATTATTAAAAAAATAAACACTTTGTGATTTTTTTTTTCAGGAACAAAACATGAACATATTTTAATCAGGAACATGTCCGATTGACTGTTTAAACCTCTCAATGAATACAAATTAAAACACTGGTCTGATTTGGAAATCTTATTTATTATTATTATTATTATTATTATTATTATTATTATTATTATTATTATTATTATTATTATTTTAAACATCACTCCTCCTAACCTAAACTCTCTCCTTTCTCTTTGTGAGGTTGCTGGCCCTTTAAGACAGGGAGAGGACAGGATGAGCCCATACCTCACACCCCCCAACCCTTCGCCCACCCTCCTCCTCCTCAAACACATTGTTCTGCGGCTGCCGGCGAGGAACCGGTTCCCTCCCGCTGCTGCTGGTCAACCGGCGGAGCCGCTGACACACCGACACACCGACACACCGTTTGACTGACTGACTGACTGACTGACAGGTAAAGCGACGGGCTAACAGAAACGCGCCCGCCCTACCGCGGCGTCTCACCGGCGGCGCATCTCTTTGTGCGGGTCCAACAGTTCACAGGGGTGGAGACAAAAGGCAAGAGGGCAGTCTGGCGAACCGACACGCGGACACGGAGACGCTATGAGCGAAGGCACGCGCCATGGGAGCGGAGGGCGCGCGCTCAGGTGAATGATCGCCTCGCACGCGAGCAGAACAAAGACAGCCCGGCTGTCATGTCTCCGCCGTCCGTGAGTCCCGTCTCCATCCTCGCGGATGCTGCGCTGCTGTTGTCATGGTAACCATCCCACAGTCTGAGGTCACGATGAAGACGTGGTGGGGGGGGGGTGGGGGGGTGGGGGGGGGGGCGGAGGAACGTGTTTATTTATTTATTTATTTATTTGGCTGCTTATTCTGTCCGTCTGCGTTTCCTGTTTGCTATTTACCTGTAAGCAAACGCGTGACATCACCAAGCTGTCAGTCAATCACGCGGGATCAAATTCCGCAGGTAGGCAGATAGTCACGTGGCGTTTCTTCTTACGTCAGTCGGCTCGCTTTGTCGTTGAAATATTGAGCTTTTTCAAGAAAAAAAGAAGAGACGTTTGGTTTACAATTAATGCCAGTTGTCCAACCTCACTTATTTACATGCATTATTTATTAATATCAAAACTTTTTGCATCGATTTTTTTTTTAAATTACAACCTTATTCTGGTTAATGTTGGAGATTTTATATAAAACTTTAGTTTTATTTACCACCTTTCTATCAAAATATAAGCGATAAGAATAAGTTTTATTTATTTATTTATTTATTTTCATGCTGCCACTCATGCTTTGCTTTAAGTCATTTTAGGAAATAAAAAAACAAAAAACAGCTCAGTTTTTATTTGCGTTGTAGATGACATCTTGCTTGTTGGTTTTAAATATCAAATGGTAAACAAGGTTTCTGTGCGAGAACCTGTTTAAATCAGCTGGTCAACAGGAAGAGCGTGTAGGAAGGAAGCAGGCTTCCTCTCACATAGACACACACACACGCACACACACAGCTGCTTTTGTTTCGCCGTGTGTGTGTGTGTGTGTGTTTTGTGTGTGTGTGTGTGTGTCTTGAGCGCGTATTAGCCTCTAAGTGTGGGTGTGCGTGTGTGTCCTACTTCCTTCACAAAGAGTTGAGACAATACGGCATGCTGATATGTTTTGAGAGGGGTGCATGTCGAGGACAAGTGCAGAATAAAAGAGACATTTTTGAATAATACAAACATGAGGAATAAACAATACAAACAAAAAGTCAAAATAAATCGACTGTTTCAGAAAGCAGAACCTAAAGCTGACACAAATCATTTATACTTTACTGTAATAGTGGTTAATATTTTAATTTTTCTTTCCTTTACGGATTGAAATGTCCATTTTTTTTAAATGGTCCTTGAAACCTCCACCGTTTGTCCTCTTTGATTCTACAGATTATGTGAAAAATCTTTGACAGTCGCATTTAAAATGCTCCAAACTCAGAGCAAATAGCAAAGGGAAGTTGAGTAACAGACTCGTGTGTCGAGCGGTTTCTCACAAATGGTTTACTAATGATCCTCTTCATCGGCTGTGGGAAAATGACCCGCAGTGTTTAAAGTCCTGTACGCATGATTCAATTGGAGCAGTCAAATTTACCCAAATCAATGAAACTCTGTCAAAGAGCAAACTGAACTTCAGGCAGGTGAAAAAGAGTCGTTTTCTTGAAGTCACTGTCAGGATTTGACTTTTCTGTGTGTTTATTTTGAGTTTCTGTGTTGTCCCGTCCATCCCGTGATTGTCCCCAGTTGTGTCTCGTTCCCTGATTATCTCCTGTTTATTTAATGTCACCTGTGTTTCTGTGTCTCAGTGCTCCATTTTGTCTTGCTGTCCATTTGTGTCTCCACTTGCTAGTGTTGAACCTTAGCTTTTGTGCTGCCTGTTTGTATTTGGACTATTTCTACCTTAATCACCATTTTCTTCACCTCAACCTGGGTCTGTCCTTTCATGACAGTCATACAGATTCAGTAAGAAACTTCTTGTTTTTTCTCTTTTGTTTTTTGTTTTTAAATAAAAAGAAATCTCTCAAACCATTGAGAGGTTGCAGGTCTTATAGAACTATGCTGTTTTTTTTGTTTTTTTTAACATGTTAACTTTCTGTCAGCAAACTGGGTTTCTGTTGTTGATTTATGGTTTATTGTGAAATATGCACTTTTTGTTTTTTACCATACTTCTCTGGATGGAGAATCCTGCCTGGGTGGAAGGATTACTCATTTTCCTGAGTGGAAACAGAGCCTTACAAACACATTTTTGTTCTTCCTTTTACACACTGTGTCATGTTGGAAACACAAGCTTCAGCACATTTCACTGAGCTTCTGCGTCACAGAGAGCATAATGCAGTTTCAAATTGGAAAGAAAACATTGCAGGGATTTTTCTTTTTTGATTTTGACAAACGAAAATGTCGGAACAACATTTTGCCATTTGTGAATGAGCGTCTATCTAAATCTGTTTAATGTTGCACCGTGAAGCTGAAGTAAAACCACATGTCTGTCTGTCTGTCTGTCCAGGTAGCCCAGTGCTGAGGTGTGGCAGCTGGTGATTGGTGGTTATCATGGTGCCCAGGCCGTCGTCCGGGGAGTTATGGGGGCTCCATCTGATGCCCCCGCGGATACTGGTGGACTGCTGCCTCCCCAATGGTGATATTTTGTTTACCTTTATGTTTTTAATCATTTTTCCAGTGTGCGACATATCTCTGTGCCTCAAACATGAAAATGAACTTGAATCATCAAATGACATATTTGTATCTGATCTGTAGTATTGTTTCTTCAGCGTCTGTTTCCTGCATGCGTCACTGTGGTGTTACTGCACTATTTGCAGTGTTCCTCTTTTTTGTTGTTGTTTTTTATGCATTTTTGCTTTTATTCTTTTGGTTTTGCTTCGTTTAATCTACAGGGATGATGGTGAGCCTGGAGTGTCTCAGAGAAACTCCTCTCATCAACATAAAGCAGCAGCTCTTCATCGAGGCCAGGAAGTATCCTCTCTACCACCTGCTGCAGGCACGCCATCTTCTCTCCCTGCACACCCTCCACTCGACCCGCGACAGACTAACACTCTCGCTTCTGCTCTCTAATTGGTTAGGAGGAGTCATGCTACATCTTTGTGGGCGTGACCCAGGAGGCTGAGCGGGAGGAGTTTTACGATGAGACGC